CGTAAGTTGGCGCGATTGAGCCGAATGAACACACTCCTTTGGCACGGTACAATGAATGCAACCAGCATTTATGAGGTACATAAACGTTAATTAGTAAACGCAGCGATGGTTTACAAAGGACTATACTTCTCGCAACCAACCAGAACGGAATACAAGTTTCCATTGCATTTGCAGCATGTTCTCTTGGGCGAGCACGAGAAAGTGATGATTTCGCAACTTGGAACATGAACCGCAACTTGGAACATGGATTAAAGCTTAACGTATGTCAAATGTAATTGACTCGTGTCGAATAAGTAAGTAGCTAACAAGTAGATCCGTTTGATGTTTGTGGACAAAGAAATGCCCTGTCATGTGAAGCAAGGTCTATATAACCCTATCTCACAGAGAGGTCGTTGAAAGGAGCTCCTCTTCTAATGTATTGTGTACATGCGCAAGCAAGCTTAAGGAATATGTGAAGAGGTGTTTTGTATATAAACACTACATAGACGCAGAACTATAAGTATTTAAGTATACATCGAAGTACAGACACACAACTCTTGTGCACCACTCAGGCAGCACTAATGTAGGCACACATACACACGCACACACACAGAAAAGAAACAGACACAGACACAGTATATATATATATATATATATATATATATATATATATATATATATATATATATATATAGATATATATATATATATAGATATATATATATACATCAACATATAGTTAACAGTCGTACCTGTCCATGGAGCACTCGCACTTTAGTTTCACGGTCACGGATCGCATTTTCTCGCCTGGCCAGTTTGTGTTGAAGCTTCTGCTCATGATTCAGTTACAATGTGTATGAGAAGATATATATAGTGGAATTTCCTGGGATGGTGTACATATGTATATGTGCACACACACACACACACACACACACACACACACACACACATATATATATATACTTACTTACCAACGTACTAAAAACGCACATATCTCTGATCGTAATCATCTCTAGAGTAGTGCAAATGTCCAATTCACAACAGCTATCATCGATATAGATACCACTCGTACAATGTCCATATACAAATGAAATATCTACGTCTGTGTACACGCACGCATGTAAACTCACTGTTTAGAACGTAAGAACATTGTCACATCGCTTACGGGCGATCTCAACTCACCCTATTCTCCGATAGCAACAGACCCAGGCTATGTATACCACAGCCGCAGTGGTTACCACACATACTCGTACTACCACCGATGAGCGGCCCTGTGCTTGTATCTGACCTGCAATAGGAGCGTACGTACGTACACTTGAGTGCACGTGGTTCAGTATACACATGGGGTGTACCAAAGCATCGCCTAGCTATGAAGATGAGAGGGATCTCTGCAGTACACTGATATCCTTAGTAACGAGATGAAAAATATTCACGGAATTGGGGTAGTATATATATATATATACACATATGGTGTAGCATATATATAAAAATATATATGTATGGAAGTAGCGTATATATATGGTAGTAGTATGTATATATATATATATATATATATATATATATAAATATGGTAGTAGTGTATATATATGTATATAATAGTAGTGA